ATATTTTCCAATGCAGTGTTCATTATTTATCCCATTTTCTTTTTTTAATTTTTGAGATTTTAATGAAAGTTTATAGAGAACTTGGATTTCCAGTCATTCATTGTTGCACATTTTCCTCCCTGACCCCCATTCCCCAACCAGTTCATTTTTTTCCTTGGGGAAAAAAATTCTTTCCTTCTTATACAGTCACACACACACCCCTAATTTTTTTAAGGGAAGCTCTTGTGGCCTAGTAGTAAGAAATTGTGCTGCAATCCCATGGGAGCATGATTCAAATCCACCAGCTGCTCCCCAAGAGAAGGATGAGCAGTCTCCTCCATGTTTTTTACTGGCTCTGAAAATCCAATGGAGAGTCAGCTATGAATCACTTCAAACTTCATGGTACACAACAACAACAACAGTAATTTTTTAAATGGAAACAACTTTTTCAAATAGAAATAAAATATGCATAAAGGTCAGCATTGTTTCCTGGTTTTTTACATTTTGGGGGGATCAGGTGCACACTAGTCTTTATTGTCTCTTTTAAATTGTGATTTTAATGAAGGTTTACAGAGAGATTGGGTTTTCATTTATTCATCGTTGTACTTTTTCCTCACTCCCCCTCCCTTTACCTTACCCCAGTGCATTTTGCAAGGCAACTCTTGTTCCAGATTGTTGACATAAACAACATTGTTTCTTGTTATTGAACTTGATAGTCTAACCTAATCTATTTTTTCCATCAGCATTAATAGTAGTAGTAGAAGCATCTAACATATACTTATTGTTTGCTTCACATCTCATCTGTCAGTTTGTCATACTGTGGTGACTTGCATGCTGCTATGATTGTAGAAGTTGTCACACTGCCTTTTCAGATAGTGGCAGAATCACCATGGTGGACAGGTTTCAGCAGAGCTTCCAGACAAAGACTGAGAAGCTGGACTGGTAATTCACTTCTAAATAATGTGTTCTCAAAAGCATTATGAACAGCAAGAGAATATTGTCTGATACAATCCTGGAAATTAATCCACTCAAGTGAAATGCATTCAAAATATAGTTGGGAAGGAGCTGTCTCTTCAAAGTAGAGTGTACCTTAATTACACAGACAGAGTAAAGTTTTCATTCCACAAAGGACCTTGATTTGTCAATGTGCTAAGACTCAAAATTAAGGGAAACAGCTGCAAACAGTAGTAATAATTGGAATATGAATGTGTGAAGTATCAATCTAAGAAAACTGGAAGTTATGAAAAATTAAATAATGCACATAAAGTATTACCTGAAATGGAATGGTGGTATTTGCCATTTTGAATCAGAAAATCTTATGACCTACTATGCTGGGTATAACGTTGAAAAAGAATGGTGTCGCATTCATTATCAGAAAAGAAAATTTAAACATCTGTCCTAAAATACAATGCTGTCAGTGATAGCTTAATATTTATATGTATATAAAGGAGAACTGTTAACCACTATTCCAATACATAAACAAACAACTATGTTTTTGTTTTTGTTGGGTGCTGTTGAGTTGACTATGACTCACAGCGATCCCATGAACAACAGATGGAAGCCCCGCCCTAGCCTGTGCTGTCCTCACAATCTCCACCATGCTCACGCCCACTGTTGCAGTCCTTACATCAATCCATCTTGTTCAAGAGCCTCCTCTCTTTTCTGACCCTCCACCTTTCCCCTCATGATGTCTTTTTCCAAGGACTGATCCCTCATAACAACATGCACAAAGTATCTGAGATGTTTCATAATCCTTGCCTTTAAGAAACACCCTGGTTTCAGTTTCTTCCAAGACAGATTTGTCTGTTTTTCAGAAGTTCATGGTGTGTTCACTATTCTTCACCACCACCACACAGATCCCAGTCTCTATGACTCTGAGTCCAGAAGAACTAAATGGTGCCTGACTGCCACTGCTGACAACTCTAAAAGGAATCACAACTGGAGGTTCTGGGTAGAATGGCAAAATTGTGTAACAGAACTCTAAATCATAAAGATCAGGCTATGGAACAAAATCATAAAGACTAGACCAATGGAACCCCCAAGGCTATGGTCTTTATATGCTAATTCTTCAGGCTTGCAACCAAACTCAACTTTTAGCCAAATAATAAACAGGAAAAGAAAGTTAATAATATTACCAAGAAGGTATACTCTCATTAGAACAATCTAATGTAATCTAATCTAACCTAAACTAATCTAATCTAAGAGCTCAAAAGACACATATTGCCCAAGAAGAAATCCGTATTTCTTTCCATTTCCCCCAAAGGATGATCCAACAGAATGTAGAAACCAAACAATATCATTATATCACATGCAATCAAAATTTTACTGAAGAGCATTAAAAACCAGCTCAAGTGACCATGAACCAGGGATATCATTGCTGATGTTAGATGGATCTTGGCTGAAAGTGGTTAATACCAGAAGTAAATCTTTCTGTGTTTTATTGACTAAGTAAGGCATTTGCTTGTGTGGATCATAAAAAACTGTGGTTAACATTGAGAAGAACAGGAAGCCCAGAAAACTTAATTGTACTCGTGTGAAATCTATGCTTAGACAAAGAAGTAGTTGTCTGAAGAGAGCAAGAGAATACTGCACAGTTCAAAACCAAAAGAAGTGTGTGCTAGGGCTGTGTCCTTTCTCCTTACCTATTAAATTATCTTTTTGTTGAACAAATCATTCAAGAAGCTGGAAGAAGAATGTGGCATCAGAATCAGAGGAAGACTCATCAACAACTTGGCATTGTGCAGATGACACACCTTTCTTTCTGAAAATGAGGACTTGAAGTATTTGTTGCAGAAGGTCAAGCACTGTGGCCTCAATATGGATTACATCTCAACATTAAGAAAACAAAATCCAAACACCAAAAGGGAAGAACATGCTCAGAATTTCTTTAACTGAAAAAATTGAATAAAAATTCAAGCCTCAAGTTTGAACACTGGAGGATTCTATGTGCAGATTCTCTATCAGACCATTACTCTGAGGGTGGTAGGCAATGTGATATGATGTTTATGCTTTGATGTTTCTTGGCCCATTGCTGTACTTGTGTTCTTTAGTCTGAGAAAATAGAAGTTTGTAACCTCCCCCCCCCCAAAAAAAGAAAACAAACAAATAAGAAGACAAAATCCTCACCACTGGACCAATAGGCAACATCATGATACATGGAGAAATTATTGAATTTGTTAATGATTTCACCTTATTTGAATCCACAATCAACACTCTTGGTATGAACACTCAACAACTCAAGAGATAAACTTTTCTACAAAGGTGGTGCCGAAAACAAAGTAGGAAGCCTCTGCCCCTGCCCAAACTGAAGACAAAGTAAAGGTGTTAAAGGCCAAGAAGGCAGTCCTGAAGGATAGTCACAGACACAAAGATCTGCACGTCACCCACATTCTCATGGCCTAATGTGGCGAGATGATAAAAGCAGCCAAATACCCCCAGAAGAACTCCTCCAGGAGAAATAAGCTTGACCACTACTCCATCATTAAGTTTGTCCTGACCATTGTCAGCCATGAAGAGAAAAGGTAACAACACACTTGTGTTCACTGAGGACATCAAAGCCAACAAGCACCAAATCAAACAAGCTGTAAAGCTCTGTGACACTGAGGTGGCCATGGGCAACACCTTGATTAGGCCTGATGGAGAGAAGAAGGCCAATGTTTGACTTGCTCCTGATTATGATGCTTTGGATGTTGCCAGCAAAATTAGGATCATGTGAACTGAGTGCAGCTGCCTAATTTTAAATACAATTATTTCTTAAAAAAAAAAAGGAAAATAAAAGTTGTACAGTGACTAAGAATTACAGAAGAAGAACCTATGTCTTTGAGTTGTGGTGTTGGAGAAGAGTAATGAATAATACCGCTTAGACTGCCACGAGAAGAAATAGGACAGTCCTGGAGAGAGTGAAACCAGGGAGTTCCTTGAGGGCAAAGAAGATGATACTCCATCTCACAGTTTTTCACATGTGGTTTGGAGGGGCCAGTCTTTGAAGAAGGATATCATTCTTGGAAATTTGGAGAGTCTATGTAAGAGAAGGCGGCCTAAGATGGATTGACATGGTGGGCTCAAATGTGTCAAAGACAGTGAGGATGGTTCAGATCTGCTGTTCATAGAGTTGCTATGAATCACAGTCAACTTAATGGTGCTTAACAACAAATTTCAGAAGGCAGAAAAGGAAAGGAAAATAGGAAATGGTAAATTCCAGGAAGAAGTTGAAAGAATGCCATTACATACAAGGGGATTGAAATAAATTTGTCACAAAACAAAATGTGTATGAATTATGAGTGGAAAACCAATTTGCTCTGTAAACTTTCACAGAAACCACAAGAAAAAGTAAGTAAAATCAGTTCTTAGTTTCACCCCAGACCTGTCTAATCAATCAGACTGAGAATGAAGCCTTGGGACCTGTGTTTTCAGCATGTTCCATATATAAAAATTTATATTTTTATAGAGAAATAAAGACTGGAAACATGTACCAAAAAACTCAATGAAAGTATGTATGAACTGTTGAATGGAAAACCAATTTGCTGTATAAAACACTCACCCAAATCACAATAAAAAGTTTTCCAAAAAAATTCTTTCTTCCTTCTTTTAGCGCTGACTTCTCAGTAACTTATTGAAATAATTTTTTTTAAATTTTCAGATTCTCAAAAACCTGGGCCAATGCACTGTTCTAGCATATCTATAGAAGCCAAATCCCTAGGCCACACCCTGGTGACGGTGAGCGTGACTGAGAGTGACGAGTACTTGGAGAACAGCGCTACATTTGCTGCTTATGAACCTCTGAAGGTGAGCTATTTCATGTTAGAAAACTGACATCTCTTTTCATATGAACCGCAGCATGTTTACTCAGGGGCTACTGAGCTATTTGCTAAATTCACAATTATTTTTATATTCTTTTTATTTACTCCTCTTTTGTTTATAGAGCTACAGTTCTATTATCAAACCTCAGTGTAATTATTTAAATTTTTATCTATCTCTGACACCACCACCAGATCAAGATTTAGAACATGAGAAGTTCTCTGAAAAATAATTTTCTATGTTAGGGAAAGAAGTAAATTTTTTTATGCTCTTCATCTATGGGAAATTGTTTATAAGAGAGAAAGAAAGGCATTATATAATAATTAAAGAATTGGTTTAAAAAAGGACATAACTGCTATGCACACCCAATGACAGAGCACCACAATACATAAAACAAACTTTAATGCATTTGTATAAAGAAGTAGATAATCCCACAATACTAGTTGTTGTTGTCAGATGCCATCAAGTTGAGTATGACCTGTAGTGACCCTATAAATAACAGATCTGAACTCTTTCCTGTCCTCTGCCATCCTCACACATCCTGACACACTAAAGCCCACTGTTGCAGTCACTGTATCAATCCACCTGGTTGAGAGTCTTCCTCCCCTTTACTGACCCTCTGCCTTTCCAAGCATCATGTCTACCTTCAAGGAACAGCCACTCCCAACAAGATGCCTGAAGTGTGATAGGTGAAGCCTGATCATCCTTGTCTCCAAAGAGCATTCTGTCTACACTCTTTCCAAGCCATACTCATTTCTCCAAGACAATACTAGTCCAAGACTTCAATATACCACTTTTTTTTCTTTCTTTACATATTTTTGTATACTTAGTAAACACTCTTATTTTCTTTTGTTTTGTTTTTCCATTCATTATTACACATTTTCCTCTCTGTCCCCCCTCCCTGCTAGTTCACTTTTTTCTTTGGAAACAAAGTTTCCATTGTTATACAGTTTCCCCCTCCCCCACTACTTTACTATGCAACTTTTATTCTGGACTCTTGTCATGCCAATAATACCTAATCATATTACATCATTCTCTCCCTTGTCTGTTTCAATGCCGAGGGCATTATTTATCCCCTCTTTTCTTAGTTTCCTCCAACCTCCATATTAGTCCTGTTCTATAACAGTGTCATTATACAGTATTAGTCTTTTTGTTACTGAGATATTTCACTCAGCATAATGTCCTCCAGAGTCACCCATTTTGTATAATATTTCATGAATTCTTTGTTTTTCAGAACTGCATAATATTCCAGTGTGTGAATATGCCACAGCTTCTCTATCCATTTGTTTGTTGATGGGCAATTGGCTGTTTCCAACTTTTTGTTATTGTGAAAAAAGCAACACTAAGCATGAATGTGCATAATACACCACTTTCAGTGAAGGACAGAACTAGACAGAAACTCAACAAAGATGCAAAATAACTAAAGAAATACAATTAGCCAGTGGGATCTCATATATATACCTCACTTTACCCAATAAGAGCACAATATGTATTCTTCTCCAGTGCACAGGAACATTCTCCAGAATGGACTATATGTTAGATCACAAGAATGCAAGTCAAGACATAATAACAATTTTTTAAAAACCTAAATACTACAAAGCATCTTCTCAGATGACAATGATATAAAATTATAAATAAGTAATAGGACAATTAAGGGGTGAAATCAAGTATGTGAAATATAAATAAGGCCTTGCTTTAACACTTGTTTTTGTTGATTGCTGTTGAGTCGAGCATGACTCATAATGATCCTATGAACAAAAGACCTGAAACCTTTCTATAACTATTGTAATTTCGCAAAGTTCATGGTAATAATAAGAGATAAAAATTAAATTTAAAAAATTCTTTGGAACAAATGAGAATGAAAACACAGTTACCAAATATTTGGTACACAGCAAAAGTAATGCTCATAGCTCCATTTATAGCAATCAAGGCAGGCATTTTAAAAGAAAGAAAAAATCGAATCAACACCTTAACATCTCCAACAATTAGAATAGCAAGCAAAGCCTCCAGAAGAAAGGGAGTAATAAAGATTAGAGCAGAAATCAATGAAATAGAAATATAGACAGGATCAACAAGACTAGAAGTCAATTCTTTGAAAGGATTCATAAAATTGACAAGCATTCAGTAAATCTGACAAAGGGTTTAAAAGGAGAAGATTCTATAACATGGATATGAAAGGAAAAGGGTGATGTCAAAACAGAACCCATGGAAATAAGAAGGATAATAAAAGAATACTGTCAAGAGCTACACTCCCAACAAATTTGAAAATCTAGAGGAAACTAGTCAATTTTTAGAAAGTCACTGCCTACCTCGCCTAACACAGACAGAGGTATAAAACCTACATAGACTCATCACAAAAAAATTAAACAAGACATAAGAACACTTCTAATAACAAAAGAGCCCTTGCCTAGTTAGCTTCACTAGTGAACTCTAACATCCAGCATAAAACTGACACCAAATATTCTCAAACTATTTCAGAATAAGGAAGATAATGGGAAAAGTCTATAAAGCAAGCATGAACTTGATACCAAAGCCAACCACACCATTGAAAAAGAAAATCATACACCAATATCCCTCATGAGTGGAGCTCTGATGGTTTAGTGGTATGAAATTGTGCTGTCAACACAAAGGAGTCTGACTCTAATTCACAAGGTCCTCGGCAGAAGAAAGATGGGCACTCTCCTTCTTTATGATTTGTTGTTGTTGTTGGTATGTGCCATAGAGTTGCTTGTATGTACAACAGCTCTGAATTCTGCTCCATTCTGAGCCAACCTTATTGTCTCTGACACATCTACTCCCATTACCTTAGTCACTTGAGTCAATACTTCTCAAGGGTCTTCCTCTCTTGTACTGTCCCTGAATCCTACCAAACATGATGTCCCTTTCCAAGGACTGGTCCCTCCTTGCAACTTGCCCAAAGTATGTCAGACAGAGCTTCAGAATCCTTGCCTCCAAGGAACATCCTGGGTTCACCCTTTCTGCGATAAACCTGTTTGTTCTCCTAGCAGTCCATGCTATATTCAGTACTTTTCTCCAGCACCACAGCTCAAAGAAATCAATTCTCCTATCATCCCTAGTCATTGTCCAGCTTTCTGATGCATAGCAAGTAATTGCAAAGACCATGGCCCAGATCAGGCACACTTTAGTCTCAGGACTGACATTGTTTCTCTTCAGTGCTCTGGAGAGGTCTCTGATAGCAGATGTTCCCAGTACAATTCATCTTTTGTTGTCCTGGCTGCTGATAACAAGAGTGTTGATTGTGGAGCCAAGCAAACTGAAGCTGTTAACTGTCCCAGCCCTTGGGATCTTTCCAACGGGGACCCTGGAAAGGAAAGAATGACAAAAAAAGAGGACAAGAGACCAGAGGCATCTGAGACAAGTTGAATTTCTGATCAAATCTCGATTTTATTGAAAGCACTCACAGCTTATATACAGAAGCACAATGGGGGGAGAAGAAGTATGCAATGGGGGAGAATAGCATCATGTCATTTCTAGTAATCTGAAAGTTATCTGGTTAACAGAAACTTAGCAGGGCATTTTCCCGAAACCTATCCTCCCAGGGTGGGGTAAACTGAAACCTATCCTCCCAGGGCAACATATCCAAACATGTCCTTAGAGAATTACAAAATGGCTTCAGCTAGGTTGAACTAGCAGCCTCCAACAGTTAACAATCTCAGTCTCGTCACTATCTATTGTGATGCTTCCAGCAAGCCTAGTGGTAAGAATCTTTGTTTTTTTGATGTTGAGCTTAAATCCATATTTAAGGATGTGGTCTTTGACCTTCTGCCTCAGGTCCTCCTCAGTTTCAGCAAGTAAGGTTGTCATCTGCATAGTGCAAGTTGTTGATGAATCTTCCTCCAATCCTAATGCTCTACTCCCTCCTCCTCATAGAACCCAGCCTACAGGATGATCTGTTCCACATATAAATTGAAAAGGTATGGAGAAGGACTCATTCCTGGTATACACCATTCCCAATTTTGAACTGTTTAGTGTTTCATTGTTCTGTTCTAATGACTGCCTCCTTTCCCTTAAAAGGGAAATTGTCAAGTTTGTTTGGAGAGGAAAGAGACCCTGGATAAGCAAAGCACTTCTGAAAACTAAAAATTAAGTGGAAGGCAAAGCACTCCCTGACCCTAAAACCTACTACACAACAGTAGTAATGAAACAATATGGTACTGGTACAATGACAGGCACATAAACCAATGGAACAGAACTGATAATCCAAAAATGTACCCACCTATCTATGGTCAATTGATATTCGATAAGGAAATAAAACCTATTAAATGGGGAAATGACAACCTCTTCAACAAATGGTACTGGCAAAATTAAACTGCTACCTACAGAAATCTGAAATGGGATCCACATTTCATACCACACACAAAAATCAACCCAATGTGTATCAGAGACCTAAAACCATAAAGTTAATCAAAGACAAACTGTGATCAAGTTTAGACAGCCTAGTCTATTGTACAAACAGACTGCCAAATACAGCCAGAAATGCTCAATCTGGAGAGGGTAAAATTGATGAATAGGACCCTCTAAAGATTAAATCCTTGTGAGCATCAAATACTTTTTCCAACAGAATGAAAAGAAAATCTACGGACATGAAAAAACTTTTGGCAAAACCATTTCAGACAAAGGTCTCATAACTAAAGCTTACAGAATCCTACAGGACCTCCACAAGAAAAAGACTGATAACACAATTGCAAAATGAGTAAAAGACATGGAAAGATTTTTAACAGGAAGATGTTCAAATGGCCAACAGACACATGAAGAAATGCTCAAAACCACTGGTAATAAGATGCAAATCAATATAACAATTAAAGATTTATTTTCTTTTCAAAGAGAAAAGAGAGCTGGGGAGAGGAGTGGCAGGGAGGAAAATGTTCAACAATGAATGAATGGGGAAAAAATTAAAAGGGAAGAATATGCTGTAAAAAATAAATGTTGCATTAAAAATACCAACAAAACAAAAAATTATTGTCACCTTTTAATACCAGAATATACATACTGTAACACTGTTGTTAGAGCATATCTAATATATATCTTATAAGGATTAAAAAAAAAAAGATGCAAATCAAAACTATAATGAGATACCATCTCACTCCAGTAGCATTGACAAAGTTTAACAGGAAAACGAGTAATAAATGTTGGAGAGGATATAGTGAGATAAGAACTCTTACACCTTGTTGGTGGGATTGTAAAATGGTTCAGTCACTCTGGAAGGTAGTTTGTTGTTTTCTAAAAAAACTGAACGTAGACATTCTGGATGACCCAGCTATTCCACTGCTTGGAATATACCCTGAGAAAATGATAATTGAGGCACAAATGGAGATTTGTACACCAGTGTTCATAACAGTGTTCATTTGCAAGAACATGGAAACAGCCCAAATGTCCAACCACAATCGAGGGATTGAGAAACTATGGTACATTCACACAGTGGAATACTACGAAGCATGCAGAAGCAATTATTTTGTAAATTACTACCTAATTTGGAAAGGATTAGAAACCATTGTGCTAAGTGAACTTGAGTTCCATAAGGATAAATATTGTATAAGACCATAATTGTAGAATGAGTGTGAGGATCAAAGCTGGGGGTGGGAGGGAGTAGAGAGGTAAGGATGGGCAAGGGGCAGAGGTGGTTAATCAGAGGGTCGCACAATTTGATGGGTGGAGTGAGGGTGAAGCAAATGGGAAAGGTCCAGTGTGAAAACAATGTATACTAACTTTGTAAATAAACCGGTATAATAATTTTTTTTAATCTCACATAAGAATCAAGTAAGATTCATAGCAAGCATGCAAAGATGAATCAACATTGTTGTTGTTAAGTGCTGTCGAGTCGCAGGCAACTCATAGCGACCCTATGAAGGAGAGTCCTCGACGCTTGGGTGCCTTTCATCCTCTCTCCAGGTTCATAGGGTTTCCAGAGGCAAGCTATTACGGAAGTGGATGCCATTCCTGCTTCCAAGCTTGTTTTAATCGCGGAGCTCCACCCCACTCTCTGTCCGCATTGGGTAACCAACTATTAACGCATTTGACACATCAGTGTCACAGTGTTCAGCCTCACAGCAACCACAAGTGACCGCTGTAAGGCAACTTGTACACCAGGACTATACGACCTAGAGGAATGTCTGAACAAAAACAATGAAAGGCAGTCTGATTAAAAGTCACCCACCTTTGGCTGGGTAGCATCGCATTCTGTCCACTGGGCCAGCTGATCTCTCTCTCTATGTTGATGTTATTGTTGTTAAGTACCTGTTGAGTCGCAGGCAATTCATAGCGACACTATGAAGGAGAGTTCTTAAAGCTTGGGTGGAGTCGTTAGGTAAAAAAAAAATCATGTATTCCATCACATCACTAAAACAAAGCAAAGAACCACATGGCCATCTCATTTGATGCAGGAGTCATTTGACAAAATTCAAAACTCTTTCCTGAGAAAAACACTAAAAAAAAAATAGGAGTAAAGTATAAATTCTTCAAAGAGTTAATATAAACAAACCAATGGTCAATATTCTTTTTAATGGAAAGAGATTGAAGGTGTTCCTGTTGAAAATAAGAACCAGACAAGGGTGCCCTTTTATCACCACTCCTATTTGATATTGTACGGAAAGCCCCTGCCAGAACAGTAAGATTACAAAAAAAGGAAATAAAAGGCTTCCAAATTGACAGAAGAAGTAATACTAGCTCAGGTTTTTGGTTTTTTTTAAAGAAAATATCATTTTTATTTTAAAAACTTTGCTACTACCCAGGTACTTACGCTTGTAATCAATTGCTAGGTTATGTATAGATGATAAAATCATTAATCTTTTAACTCAATCATCAAAGAAGATACATTCAAAGGTCCCAAATTGACTTTCAATCCTTTCCAAAAGGCAATCGAGGCTCCTCATCACTCCTTAACCTAAGCCCTTCAGAGCTGACATTATCCACAATTATTATCAACATTATCAACAGAGTGACAATGAGCGTCTCAAAAGCCTCAGTTTTCTGTTTTTTTTAAAAAAATTAATTTTAATAAAAGTTTACAGAGACTTTGGATTTCCATTCATTCATTTTTGCACTTTTCTCCCTGCCAACCCCTACCTCCCAGTTCCTTCTTCTCTTTGAAAAGTAAAAGAAAAATTATTTCATTGTTATACAATCCCTTCCTCCAATTGCACTCCACTATGCAGCATTCATTCTGTACTCCTGTCATGACAATAATACCTAATCATATGTCCCTTTTAAACAATTCTCTCCCTCATTTGTTTCAATGCAGTATCCCAGATGTCAATCCCATTTTACAACAGTGGCACTACCCCATTTTTATCGCGGTTTTGTTCACAATAGCAAAGAGTTGGAAACAACCTAAGTGCCCATCAACAAACAAATGGATAGAGAAGCTGTGGTATATTTACATAATAGGATACTATGCTTGCTGCATTGAAAAACAAGAAACTAATGAAATATACCAAATGGGTGACCCTGGAGGACATTATGCTGAGTGAAATATCTCAGTCATGAAAGGACGAATACTATCTCAGTTTTCAGGCTTGATCTTATGTGTAGTAAATTTCAGAGACTTACTAAGACTATTACTGATTATAAATTACTTTTTCAGCAAAGAAATGGAAACAACCTGTGTCCATCAACAGATGAAGAAATGTTAAAGAAACTATGATACACTCACAATAATAATGTTGTGTTATGCAACAATGAAGAATGATAAAGAATTTTGGAAACACTGCGTAACATGGATAAATCTAGTGGTATAAATCAGTCACAAAAGGATAGATATTGTCTAAGTCCAGCATTATAGGTAGCTAAAGAACAGTTTACACAAACATACAATAATTTTTAAATGGTTACCAGAAATGAGAAGGGAGGAAAAAGGGAGTGAAAAGTAGTACACAGAAGACACTAAGTTGAGTGAAGGGAAATACAAAAAGAGGTTGATGGGACACTTTAATAAATAACCTAGTGGTAAAGAGTGGCACTGCAATCCCAGAGGCACATAGTTCAAATCCATCAGTTGCTTTGCAAGAGAAAGGTAGGCAGTCTCCTCCCATGAAGTTAAAACTGCCTCTGAAAACCCACTGGAGGGTCAGCTATGGGTTGGTTCTGACTCAACAGTACACAACAGCAACAATGTTATAAGAGGGAGTTCTGGTGGCCTCATGATAAAGTACTCTGCAAATCCCAAAGGTGGAGGTTCAAAACCACCAGCTGCTCCACAGGAGAAGGATGAGAAGTCTCCTCCTGTGTGATTCACTGCTCCTGAAAACCCACTGGAGGGTCAGCTATAAGTCAGTTCCAACTTGGAGACAAATAACAACAATGTTATAAAACAAAATGTATATGAATGCTTGCAAAGAAACCAAAATGATTTGTAAACTTCCACTCACATCACAATAAAGGGGGAAGGGAAGTAACCATAAGATGCTAGCTCTTCTTTCAAGGAATTTATCTACATAGAAACCATAGCAAAATTATTTGCTTTATACATGAAATATTTAATTAACAGTAGGATATTAACAAGCATACAAATAAGTGGTTAGTTATAATTTAGAGCAGGGGGAGGGAAATGATTGTGATCTGGAGTGATACTTAAAGTGACACATGTGTTAGGCTGGAATTATACACAGGATCTGAACTGTACAATGGGAGAGAAGCAGTTCAAGTAAAAGACATGGAATACATGTCCCCATCACTGAGTAATTAAGTCTAATTTCATTTTCAGCATAATCAGATAACAATTTTCTTTTAATTTTAGAAAACATTCTGTTGAGTTCCCAACCAATTAGAGATTCATTTCTTTAAATGTCATCAGGCTCTAAATCCTACAGAAGTCGCCTTGGTGACATGGAAGTCTGTGAAAGAAATGGTATTTGAAGGAGGCCCCCATCCATGGATCTTGGAGCCTTCTCGGTTCTTTTTGGAGTTGAGTGTGGAGAACACAGAGATGATTAGTATAACACAAGTTCGACTGCCAGCAAAGAGGAAACAGAACCAATACGTCTATCGAGGCCTATGCCTGGATTTAGGGGAGCAGGTAGGAAAATCTTTCTTAACCTATTTTGATTTTACAATAACAATGTATCTTTTGTACATTATGTCATTCCTTTTCAGACTCTAATAGATTCCATTTATAAATAGGATAATTCTAATTTGTTATTAAAGAATCTTTTTTAAGCCTTATTATCTTACAGCAGGAAATGCTGATAGCCTTAGAATAAGAAATTGTGCTGTAATTCCAAAGGCATCTTTCTACCAACTGCTCTACAGGAGAAAGATGGGAAGTCTTCTCCAGTGTGATTTACCACCTCTGAAAACCTGATGGAGTTATGAGTCACTAAATGAGTCACTTCCAACTCGATGGCACCTAAGAATGACAATAAATCTTGACAGCACACAACAGTCCTTTACAGACATACTAAAAGTGTTGTTCATCTGAGCATTCTAACTGAAGAGTTTAAGACCTTTTTTTTTTTTAATAAATTCGTTTACTTCACAGTTTTGACAATCATTATTCACTGTAACTGATTTCCTTATTGCTAGAGTTTTTTATTTTTCCACCTACAATGATGGAAACAAGAAAATGAGCAATTCTAAGGAATGATTTAGGGAGTTCTGGTGGTCTTGTGGTAAGGACTGGGGCCTCCAACACAAAGGCATGCTGTTCAAAATCACTGGCTGCTTCACCACCAGCAAAAGATAGACAGTCCAGCTCTTGTGATTAACTGCCTCTGAAAACCTGCGGGAGGGTCAGCTATGAGTCAGCTCAATTAGTTAAGATGTTGAGTTCGTTAAGCAGGTAAGAGTGTAATAAATTTGTTGCCCTTCTCACTGGGGGGCTCTGGTGGCATAGTGCTTATGGTGTTTGAAAACCCGCTAGAGGGTCAGCTATGAGTTGTTTCTGACTCAGAGGTAATGAAAATGAGTGAATTATCAGTTTAAATAAATTTCCTTTTAGTAGTAGAGAAGGATTTGTGTGTTCCTGTCCACAACTGTCCTGTTTCTTTTAAAACCTGTGGCAAAGGTTTACAGCTTGCAGTTTGCCGCAAAAATACATCATGACTAACCAGCCTACATGGAATTTATGTAAGAATTTGACTCAGTAAGCCCTGAGATATTGTCAAATGAGCCAATATTCATTTTTCCAATATCTGTATTCAACCTGACTATATATGGCTGTATAATTTTATAAAACATTCTGTTGGCTTCCCAACCAATTGGAGATTCATTTGTTTAAATGTCATCAGGCTCTAAATCCTACAGAAGTCGCCTTGGTGACATGGAAGTCTCTGTATAATCACCCAAGAAGACATTGCCCATCTGTGGAGCAGGTGGTGAATTCGAACCATGTGCCTTTGGAATTGCAGTGAAGGTTCTTGGTGTTAGACTACTAGAACTCCCTCTATGTGGCTAGTTATTACTAATTTAAGGCACTCTTACCTCTTTTTGGAGCTTCCTCACTTCTTCAGAGTTGAGACCCAGTTTCATTTTTCCAATTTTTAAAAAATCCTAACAAAATGTTTGATGGAGAAGATTGAAGTAATTGGTCAGAGTTAGATTTTTTTTTTAATGTTTCCTTGACATCCCAATTCTTTGTTTTTGTTGTTGTTGTTGTTGTCATCATCATTAAGTGCCATCAAGTATGACTCATAGTGAACCTATGAACAACAGATCAGAACCCTGTCCTATCTTGTACCATCCTCAGCATTTCAAACATACTTGAACCCATTGCCGCAGTTATTTTATCTGGTTGAGGGTCCTTTTCTCTTTAACCAACTCACCACCTTTCTAAGCATGATGTCCCTCTCCAAGGAATAGCTTCTCCAACAACATTCCCAAAATATGTGAGACAAAGCTTTGGTCATCTTTCATCTTTGCCTTCAAGGAATGCTCTGGCTACACTTTCTCCAAGAAAGTGTGTGTTCGTTCTCTTGGCCGCCCTTGGGATAGTCAGTACCCTTCTCTAACACCAAACTAAAAGACATCAATTCTTTGTCTGCCATCCATGTTCACTGTCCAGCTCTCAGACACATAGCAAGTGATTGGAAAGACCAGAGCCTGAATCAGGTACATCATAATCCCAAAACTGACTTCATTGTTCCTCAGTAATTTGGAGAAGTCCCTGACTGCAAACTTTTCCAAGGCAGTTCTTCTGCAATTTTCCTTAGCACAGATAATTGAGAATGATAATGTCTTTAAAGAATTTGCCTAGTTATAGTATCCAGATGGACTTTGTTTATTTCTGAATTTGAGTAACTAATATTTTTGGGTGAACCTAATTGTCATCAGGTTTCTGCACATAATTACCTCTTTTTCTGGTCTTTTCTCCAAGGTTCTGACATTCCAAGTTGGAAATCACCCAGGTGTCCTGAACCCTCGTCCGGCTGTAGAGGTCGTGCAGGTGCGCTTCATATGTGCCCACCCCGCCAGCATGTCACTGAGCCCAGTGTACAAGGTGCCAGCTGGCGCGCAGTCATGTCCTTTACCACAGCACAACAAACAACTGGTATGTTCAGAAATGACTGCATTTTGTCCTCCATGTTTCATTTTTGTCTAATTAAAGAGAACCATTTTGTTTGTTTCTCATTTTCTCTGATAGTGGCTACACTTAGTGGCATGATTTGATCACTGTAGAGAGTTAGTGAGTGATTATGGTAATAGGTATCTGAACTCTCTCTTGAAATAACATCCACATTGTGTTGTTAATATCTCTCCCTACAAAACTTTTATTAGTGTGATCAGTAAGTAATGAAACTCACCTCTACTGCAAACCCCCCATGACGTATAGTAATAAGTAACAATATAGATATTAGGTAGGCAACAGTGAATGGTTTATTTAGCCTGTGTGAAAAATTTTACAGATGAGGTTCCTAGTAGTTTAATAATTTTCCTCAAGTTGTAAAGTTACAAAGTAGCAATTTATCTGACTGCAAAGCTCAAACTATTAGTTATTAATTTTTATGCTGTATTGCCTTTTTTATTGCCTTTTTATAGTAAAAAAACACTGTTACAGATTGGGAACACTCTCTTTTTTTAGAAGAAAATTTCACATTATGATTCTTACTTGCTGTTTCTAAGTGATTCCACTTTTAAAGTGCTCCAAGTAGAGCACCAGCAGCATGGCAGTAACTGAGTTGGCATTGCAAGCGCTGAGAGACAGAGCCGTGCAAGCCCGGCATTTCCAGGAGACCTGGAGAATCTCAGTACACGTGAATCCCCACGCACGTTCAGCCCAGGAGACCACAAGGACCTGTGGAAACAGAGAAGCGGCTGAAGAGAAATGAAGCTTCAGAGGGGCAGGCTAGAGAAAAGCTAGCCACTTGGAAGAAACACCGTGAAGACAAGATCGTGCATTCTAAAAAGGAAATTGAGCAGCTGCAGAAAGAAACTGATCAGCAAATGTAGAAGATAAAGAATCTAAAACATAATGCTTAAGTGCACACCAATTCCCAGAGAATGGCTATATAAGGAAGCTCTGGTGGCTTAGTGTTAAGGGGTTGTGCTGGCAACCCAAAGGTATACGGCTGGAATCCGCCAGCTGCTCCATGAGGGAAGGAAGGATGGGCAATCTACTCCTGTGTGATTTACTGCCTCTGAAAACTCGCTGGAGCATAAGCTATGGATTTGTTCCCACTAGACAGTACATAAAAACAAGTGGACACAGTGGTAATTTAATTACTATTAGTTTGTGTGCTATCAACAAATAATAATAAATTATCATCTGTCTAAAGAAATAAATAGTTCAGAGTTAAGCTCTTCCTATGTGATTTACAGCCTCTGAAAACCTGCTGGAGTCATGAGTCAGTACTATGACACCTACCAACGATTGTTGTTGTGTACCATAGAATCGAAACCAACCCATCGTGGAAGGATATTGCCCATCCTTCTCCCACAGAACAGTTGGTGGCCTCGATCCTGCCACTAGGCCACCAGAGTTCACTTTGGGTTAATAGTCCAGTGCATTGTTTGTACCACCCAGGGCTCCAAGGGTGACCTTAAACCAACAACAATTACAGGTCAGAATAAAAGTGATATTATGCTACAATAGTCTTTTCCTTCAGTGTATTATTATTATTATTATAAATAACTGACATTTTAATTATTTGAAATTTAATGTTTTAAAGTTTTTCTTTATTTGAGGGAAGTTAACAAATTTTATAATTTGAAATAATTCTAAATTACAGAAAAGTTGTAAGAAAAATACAACCTTTTCACCCGGAACCATTTTTGAGGGGTAAGTTAAAAACATGAATCCATGATTCTCCAGTACCTTAACTACTGCTTTAGTGTGTATTCCTTTAAAAAAAAAAAAAGAACTATAATTTATATATCATAAAATTCACCCTTTTAAAGTGTCAAATTCATGTAGCCATTACCACTCAATATAGAATATTTTTCTTCTTAAAAAAAGACATGTTTTACCTGTTAGCAGTGAGTTCCCATTTTCACTTTCTTTAGCCACAATAATTTATATATTTTCTGTCTTAATTGATGTGCCAAATCTGGAAATTTCATATAAATGGAATAATGTAATAGAGAACTTTATGTACGTGGCTTTTTTTAGTAAATGTATTTTCAGTGTTGATCCATCTTGTCTCATGTGTTAGTACTTGTTTTTTTTTTATGGGTGAGTAAAAATCAACACTATTGATATCAGCAGTCAGGCAATTAAAAGACAAATTGCATTGGGGAAGTCTACTGCCAGGGACCTCTCCAGAGTGCTGAAGGGCAATGGTGTCAATCTGGTGACTAAGGTCCACCTGATCCATGGCCTTTGCTGTTGCTTGCTATGCATCCAAGAGCTTGGAAATAACTAAGGATAATAGAAGAAGGATCGATGCCTTTGAGTTGTGGTGCTGGAGAAGAGTGTTGAACATACTGTGGACTGCTAGGAAAACAAACAGGATCATCCTGGAAAGGGCGAAACTGAGCTGCTCCCTGGAGGCAAGAATTTTGTGAGGCTCTGTCTCACATACTTTGAGCACATGACCAGGAAGGACCAATCCTTGGAGAAGTGCCCCAGCCCGCGGGGATCTTCAACAGTGACCCTAGGAGGGGAAGAACAAGAATGGGGGGGACAGGAGGCACAAAAGCAGGAAGACAAGTTGAATCTCCAATCAAGTCTTCCTTTTATTGAAAGCACTCACAGTTTATATAAAGAAGCACAATGGGGGGAGGAGAAGTACGCAATGGGGGAGAATAACATGTCGTTTCCAGTAAGCTGAAAGTTATCTGGCAAACAGAAACTTAGCAGGGCGTTCCCAGTAAACCGAAACCTATCCTTCCCAGGGTGGAGCAACATGTCGAGACATGTCCTTTGAAAATTACAAAATGGCTTCAGCTAGGTTGAACTAGCAGTCTCCAACAGATCCTCCCTGTTTTTTATAATTATTTAAAGACTGCAAAAGCGCAACAGGATTACCTTTGGTGCTCTCCTGTTTGACCACGTATGAAACCGGCGCCTACCTACTGATCTTACCTATCATGGGCTAACCCAGCAGCTACAGTGGGGCACCTGTCTTAGGATGAAACAGGGGCCGGTGTCTCTTACCCGTCTCTGGCTGCCCGGTTTATTAGCCTGTATCATCAAGGATTTTCTTTATCGGCCATTTGCAGTCTTTGATAA